AGTTTTTCCAGAAATAAATTTTCCTTGGGGATAAGGCCTCTGACTTCGACATTAAGGAATTTAAAAATGAATTGCAGATGAAGTTTCTTCTACATACAAATAAAGTCCAGATGGAAACTACAAGGAAAGGTTGCCTTTGCAGCAGATATTTTAAAAAGCCTGAGCCCTCAGTATAAGCAGATGGGACCTGTTTTAGGAAGATGTGCTAATCCTAAAAATTCTTAACAGCAGAATAATTAAGAGGTGAATTTCTCATTAAAAAAGGAATTTTAAAAACAGAGTGCACCCCTCCGTTGGTGCTTTTATATCACATAAAGGCATGCTAGTAAGTAAAGAAGTGTTATTTCCATAAACGCAAATATATGTACAATGCTAAAATTCATATCTGTTTTACATCTGTGTAACTCTATCTGTGTAACTGCATATACTCCATTTAGCCTACAGTTAGTGCATAATAATAGACACAATTAAAATTCCAACCAGCATTGTCTATCTTGAGTCCTGTGATGACACAGTTATCCCAAGATAACTGTGACTGAGATCATGTGAAATATGAAATGAAAACTTATGTCTAATTCCCGAGTTAAAGAATGTACCTGTAAAATAAAGTGCGAACTAATCTCATGTCAGATGTCAAATATTTACACGTAAGTGGTTTACTCCAAGAACATAATACATCAATAAATTTCTCATAATTTTCACATTAAAAAAAATCTGCTTGGAGGATTCTACCAACCCCCAAACCCCGACTTCATTTAACTGCATTCTAAATATGAGTCAAGTCCTAATAGTTACACTAATTTTAGAAAAATCCAGAAAAATATCCAATGACATTTCCAAATTGTACTTGGTAGCTCTCTGTGGGATAGATAACATCAACTTTAAAATGTCATCATTGAATTCACCTCTCTGATCTGAACAGCTTGAACATGGGACTAATCTAATCCTACTGATTTTGTTGAGACATTCCTAAAGGATTTCCTAGAAAGATATTCTGATGGTGTTTTAAGAGATGAAAGTATCCTGTGTCTCCTGAGGGAACCACTTTGAAGTCCTTTGAATCAATACGTTCTGATATTCATTAATTGAAAATTTAATTCTAACTAATCCATTTTTTAAAAAAAAGATTTATTTATTTATGCATACAAGAGCTAAGGTACAGGCCAGAGATGCCGGGGGTGAGAGGATTCACCAGAGACAGAGTGGGGAACCGAACAGGCAGATCGACCGAAGTGCACTGCTGAGGGGAGCAGCGGGCCAGACAGGACAGGTCTGCTGCACCATGTGGGTTGCTCCCTAGCCAGCTGGGGATCCAACTCATGCTGCAGAGGCTGCAAATTGCTTCACAGTGCAGTGCTTAACCCCTTGCGCCACCAGGGAGCCCCAAATCTATTTTTGAAGAGTGTTAAACACCATCTCTTCCAAGACACCAGTACCTTAAAACTGGCCTAAGTCATTAAGACATTTGTAACAACTCCAAGGAAAAGTCTGTCTTAGATGTCAAACCATTTATCTGAGAAGTCAAGATCTTCTTGATTTACATGTTGAAAATGTAAATGATTCACAGTTTGAATGTATAAAAAAAACCTGTTTTGAAAAGAAGGAAAGGAAGACATGAATCTGGCCTGTGTGAAGTAGGTATGATCCTAGATAAAGGGAGAAATTGTTTAAAAGAAGAAAGATTTAAATAGTGGATAGGCTAAGAAAACTTTAGCCTGAACAGACCACAAGTTGAAATAAGGTATGAAAAATAGAAGACTCTATGCTTATGAAGAGATAGTGAACTTTAATATAGAGGGAGACAAACCTTTGATGTGCTTTAAATCAGGAAAAAATAAGGAACAATTAAGGATATATCTACCCTACCCAGGAAGGTATTCTGTTGATACTCTAACCAACTGAAATAACCATAACCATTACACTAGGAAGCTACTTTATAAAGAAGTTCTTCAGTCATACCCTTTCCTTTACATAGATAAAATCAGAAAAGGACCATAAACACCTTTCAACACATTACATTTAAGTAAATGAATTTCAGTCTTCAGATAATACTTGTTGAATTGAATGAGTACAGTATGCTAACCACAAATAGTTGTATCTAATCTCTTGAGTCCTCAAGGATCTTGATTTAGAAAATTATTGGAGTTTTTAGCTTTGTGTGAGTAGCTGCATAAACTTGAAAGAAGAAAATTGTATTTTTCACTAACTGTTCTGTAATGTCATAAAATTATATTTTCCTGGGTTACTCTCCCCTGAGTTGGTCACCCAACCCTACTCCTGTGGCTCAGAGAGGACAATTCCCTGCCACAGCTTTCCACTAAGGGAGCAGACATATGTAACCAGGTCTGTACCATGTGACTAAACCAGGCCAAGACAAATGGAGCAATGGTAGGTACCAGACCCAAGGGCCAATCCACAGCCTGAGTGTCAATGAAGGAGCAACTGGTGCAAAAAGAGTTCCCAGGGTGTCCCTGGTGGCGCAAGGGGTTAAGCACAGCACTGTGAAGCTATCCACAGCCTCTGCAGCATGAGTTTGATTCCCGGTGGGTCAGGGAGTTACCCACACGGTGCAGCAGACCTTTGCTGTCTCCCCTGCTGCTCCCCTCAGCAGTGTGTTTCAGTCAGTCTGCCTCTTCTGTTCCCTACTCTCTTTGGTGAATCCTCTCACCCCCACACCTCTAGCCTGTACTCCAGTTCTTGTATGCATAAATAAATAAGTCTTTAAAAAAAAAAAAGAGTTCCCAATCTGGACAATGATGATCAACTGAACCAATCAGCATCCTCCTCAGGAACATGAGTTATGACGTACAAGGAAAGTATCAGCTGGTATTGGATGGTAATGAAAACACCATAAAAGTAAACAGAGGGAAGAAAGTGTCCAAGTGACGGAGGGGGATTGTGAGATGGGGATGGGAGACAAGCTTCTCCCATTGTCTGACAGTATTTTGTCTCCATGAAGCTGACTGAGGCTGCATTGGGCTCCTGAGGAGTTTTGTCTCCCTGCGCCATTTGTGACCTTACAACTCCATTCCTGAAACTCCCTTAATGAGCCTCTTGCCACCTTACAATCCCCCAAGTTTCACTCACAGATAACTCAACATTTGGTGACATTGTGCTGTAACTTCAAAGGCAATTTGGCACCCAGCAGCTCAGTTTTGCCTTCACTAATTTTGGGAAAACATTTTTAGAAACAATATTAGCCACTGTGTGTGGCTTCAATGGGTTTATTAAAATTTGCCAGCCAGTCCTTCAGAAACATTTTCTGCCTACAAAACAAAATAAAATTACGATGAAGATGCTGAGTCATCATTTTTGAGATCAACACTAGAATGGGTGATGATGGTTTTCTTCCAGAGCGAATGTAAGATCATGTGACTTGAGTTTCTTTTTCTCAACTCAGATGCTTTCTGTGGTTTGTTAAATAATATACCACCTAATAGACAGGTCCGAGTCTTAATGTTTAAACATTTTCTCTTAAAATTTTAATTAATAAGGGCAGAAGGTCAAACTCTGGTGCTCCCTGAGGTACTGGCTAAGACTGATAACATTGCTCAGGGCATAGATTTCAAAAGGAGCAGCTAATTTGAGTGAAGCAGAAAAACAGAGGTAAACATTTCTATTGTGTAGAGGCTGAATTCTTGGACTGCAGGTGAGGGCCTGGATTCTAGCTGGTTCTGACGCTAACAAGCCATATTATTTTGGGCAAGTCCTTGTATGCAAAAGGAAGGAGTTGTGTTCCTGAGACTCTCTGCCTTGTGTTTTCTCCCCTACAAAAATGTAAGCTCTGTCAGAGGAACATCATCTGCCTTGTGTGCCTTGGGCTGAGTCTGAGAACTGTTCCCTGGCAGCTGCTCAGGAAATATTAGTTGCTGCTATTGAGCAATCCATGTTCTACATTGTTCTTTGAAAAGGCACCTTTAAATGTTTAAAGTCTCAGCTATTTTCCAAAGCACGTTCAGATGGCAGGTTCTCAACACTCACTGATCTAAAATATCTCATTTGGTTCTCAGGGGGTGTATGCCTGACTTGTTAATACCAAAACCCCAGGCATGGAGAAGCCTTGCAGAGTGGGAGGAGGCGTGCCCCGTGAGTCAGAAGACCTACCCACCAACCATTGTGTGACATGGGTAAGTCCTTCTGTTTTTCCAAGGTTCTGTTTTCTCATCTGCACAGTGAGCAGGCTGAACTTGACCCTAATGACCCTCTGGTGGCACAGCTCTGACTGATTCTGTGATGTGTAACAAGAGTGTGTAAGGATGGACAAGTCCAGTGGGAAGGATGAGGAGCTGCATGAGGAGTGAAGGCAAAGTAATTAGTGCAGAGGCATTGGCTCATCACAGACCAAGACAGGCAGACTCTGCTTTTTATGTGCAGCAGCTAAAATCCTTTATGAGCATCCGCTGGTGTGGCTCTTCCCTTTGCTATTACTGGCTCATCAAAGCAGGTCGTTGACCTCAGCAGATCTGCCACCATCCTCAGCAGGTCTGGCTGTCATGGAGTGGTGACACCATGGGGGAAGGCCCACCTGCCTGCAAGCCAGTGGCATGTCCTTGTTATGGGACTGCCCAGTTGTAAGGATCTGAGGATTCTGCATAACTTTTATCACAAGCCTGGGTCAAGCACATGGGGGGGCCCCAGTAGTAAGTTGCTAGCCTCCTCTATGCTTTGTCACATTAGCCTGACCCTAATTTCTTCAGACCAGGGTCTTTTGGTGCCATTAGTAAGAGGCAGCAATTCTTTCCAGCATGGCTAAGGAAGGGAATCTCTCAGTTACATGGGTGAAGAAAAAGACACATAGTCACAGTTGGGTGGCCAGCAAGATTGTAATTATGCTTGAAAGGGCAGCCTTCTGATGAGGGGGCCAGATGGATGGAAAGGACCAGAAAATACGGAAGAAAGAATGAGCCGGTTCTTTGTTGGCAGCGTGTTTCCGTGGCCTCTCCAGAAGTCTGCACTGGGGTGGTCTTCTGGGTTTTCATCACTCATGTGTCCTGTGGACATTATAACCCTGAGTCTTGCTGGGGGCTGAGTTTAGCCCGTGGGATGACATACTCCTGCGTGGGGTCAACAGTCTGGAAAGAAAGAAAGGCCATCATCAACATCTGAGCCAACACAGAGGATGATGGACTAGATCTGCAGGAATAGAGCTGAGATACCATCATTTTCACCCTTTTTTAATAAAAAATGAGGCTATCCAATTCAGAATGCTCACCCTCTCCCCTCTTAGCCATTAAAGAATCAATCTTTGTGCAAGATTCTTGACTAGCTGACCAATGGGAATGGAAAGTTATCCAAGAAATTCCTGGAGAGGGTAATAGAGACCTTTTTCATTGTGTAAATGTCCTCCAGAGGGTTAATTATGATAAATGATATCACTGTGTCTTGGACCCTGCATTGTTCAGGAAAAGGCTAAGTCTCAGATAAAAAACCAGAGGGATTGGCTTAGAGTTGTCTAGTTCAACACAACACATTGAACAAATGGGCTGAACATGATGTCACTCAAATTTTAGTTACTTCTGATCCCCATAATAGAAGATTTGTGTCCCAATGTGGCCTTCTCGACGGTCTGGATTTATGTCTTCAAGCCATCGTGACCTAATGCAAGTAACCTCCAATTCTAATCAGCAGCATTCCCTCTGTGTTTGAAAGGATTACAGCCCAAACACTCATCTGAGATTCCAGATGACGATGACAGACCTAGCCCAGATCCTGGGGTAGCCTGGGATGCTGGAGCTAGACAGTGACTCAGAGAGGCAGCCAGTGGGGCTCAGGGGACAGATTTAGACCATGGATCCTAAAACGAGATCCATGCTCATACACATTTCCCATCTCCATTGTCTCCAGAGATGAAAGAGGTGCCCTTGCTCCTCTTAACCCTCATGCGGACCCTTCAAGCTGCCTTCCCTTTCCAGGGACGATCACCTGTCAGAATATATTGCCAGTGGCAGAGGCAGAGGGGACTGGTAGGGTGTCAGGCAGAGACAAAAGGCAGAGCTTGCTGTTTATGCACTGCCCTGGTATGATTTAATTCACGATGGTTCAAGCACCACGTGCCAAAAGGGATGGTCCTGCCCTGCCTCTCAGGTCAGTAAGGCCACTGGGAACGAAGCCTGGCTGAGGAAGGAGGGCTGGCTAGTTCTTCCCTGGTGAACGTAGATGAGATTTACCTGCAGCTGAATGGGGGTACCATATGAAGTTAATGCTACATCCTCCTCAGCTCCATCACTGTCTCGGGCTGAAAGCCAAAGGAGGGAAGGACGGGGTTAGTGTCAGAGAGTCACCTGGAGACACAGTGAGGACTATGAGAACACTCTGGACCTGGCCAAGAGGCTCCTGACCCTTTAAAAAGGTATTCTCAGTTGAAGCTGCTTTTTTTTTTTCCTTTTTAATCTCTGATTTAAAAAAAAAAAGAGTGCTTTTTTAGTTTCTGAGGAAGACTGTAGGTGGATTGCATTTGTGTGTTTGGGAGAAGCTCACCCAGCTTTAGGCATTAAAAAGGCTGAAGGTTCATGGTCTTTAGAGGAAGAGGAAGTGCGGGCTCTGGGCCAGGACCTTTGCCCCCTGGGTACCCTCAACTGTAAAATATAAGGCCTTCACTAGATCATCTCTAATGCCCCTCTAGTCTTGAGACTCTACAAGCTTTGATTTAAGTTTTCAAACTGGATAGGATAGGGGACCTCCCTGGTGGTGCAAGGGGTTAAGACACACCACTATGAGGCTATCCACAGCCACTGCAGCATGAGTTGGATCCCCAGCCTGGGAGATATCCACATGGCGCAACAGACCTCTCCTGACTTGCCCGCTGCTCCCCTCAGGAGTGTATTTCAGTCAGTCTGCCTGTTCTGTTCCCCACTCTGTCTCTGGTGAATCCTCTCACCCCCCACACCTCTGGCCCCGTTCTTGTATTCACAAATAAATCTTTAAAAAAACAACAACAGGACAGAATAAAGCAGTTCCCTAAGAATGATTTTATACCATCGTAGACTAATCCATACATGGCTATTTGTGTCACGTGTGTCCCTGCAACAAGACCATAAGCTCCCTGAAGGCAGCTTCTGTCTGTAAGGTCAGGCCCTTGCTCGGGAAATGCATTGCTTGTCTGATGGTGGTGGACACAGTGTGTTACCACTGTTCTCACTGAGCGGCTGTGGCTGAGCTCATGGAGGCTGGTGCAGCCAGATGCTCTACTTGTTAGCTGTGTCAACTTGGACCCTGTTCCTTAACCTCTTGTTGCCTTTGCTTCCTGATGGGACTACCAGAGGGATGGTGATGATCAGAAGAGTGACTCTATTTCACAGTGTTGTCAGTGCCCTCTTGGGGCAGGGCATGATGCAGGCCCCTCCACCATGTTATCCTTTACATGCTCTTATTGGTGCTGGTGCTAGTGGTGTTATAATGGTGGCTCTGCCATCTTCTCCCTGCCATTTTTTAGTGTTTGGACCCTTCATGGCTGAATGAATAGAATCTGTGGTTTAACTTTGCTGCTATGGCTTAACAAGACTCTTTCACCCTCAACCCCTTGGTAATCCACGTTCACCTACCATTGTCATAGGCCAGATGATAGAGAAGCTTATTCTCCAGCTCTAGTTCATCATTCATCAAAAATGATATTTATATATTAAATTGACCTCTCTGTATACTTATGTTTCTATATTATTCCTGTAACCACCTGTGATGCGAAATCTGAGTTGAGTAAGACCTTACACTTCAATGTGAAGGAGGCAGGACATTATAACCACCATTTCAAGACAAGGAGCCTGAATTCCTAGAAGAATTGAAGCACTTAGTTTAGTCTCAAAGTTGGTAAGAAGGAGAGCTGAAACTCAGAGGCAGGACAGATGAGACTGAATCCCACCCTCTTTTGGTGCCCCCATGCTGCTCCTGGGGTCTTCATAAATATCATTAATCTTGCTTTATCTGTCCTCAGACAAAGCACATCCTGCCCAGACTCACTGTCTTCTCCCCGTGACTCCTCTTCTCTCTCTGTGATCTGTAACTCTTGAGCAGTTCTGTGAATTGTTTATTGAAGGAAACGACACAAACTACACTGTCATATTGGTTTCTCCTGGTAAAGTGGGAGCTTTGAGGAAAAAAAATATTATGAACAGCCTAAAAAGGCTATATGCAGCAAAAGGTAGAATCTGCTTTAAGGAAAAACCCAAAGAGCTTATATTTGCAAGGACATTATTCTCTTGGTTTGCATTATTTTCTAGTCATGGGCTCATTTTTACATTACAGATCATTATGTTTGTCTTAGCATCTTTAAAAAGAATCATACTAGGTTTGTCTTTTTTCATTCAAACACTGGATGGAAAAATGCCCATAAAAACACGATACTTTCACATTTCCTGTCTCAAATATAAATGGCTCTTGCGTCTAGCAACTGGATATAACAGTGTTCTAATTAATCTAAGGCAGATAAAGCAGGCAAAACTGGGACAGGAGTTTTCTCTGCATAAGAAAAGGATTCATGGCTGATTTCTACTATATTTAGCATCTCTGCAAATTATATCATATTAAAAACTTTCAGCTAAAATAAAAGAGCTTTAACTTTTAGATGTTCAATTAATATGTAGCTTTTTAGGAGCATGTGTATCACACAGGGCAAAGAAGATTCGGTGCCTGGAATAACTTGTCTGATTGAATTTTCATCCTTCATCCAGATATTTGTACATTTTGGAATTAAGTCCATAAGCCACTTCAGAGAGATAAAATCTAATCTTCCAGGGAAACGGAGTCCTTAATCCTCTTTGCCGATCTAGTTCAGTTGTCTACCAACTCTTATTTTCATAATTTATCTAAACCCTTCCAGCTTTCACTTGAAGCTCTCTCCACCCTTGCCTTTCACTGGAGACAGAAAGTCACCAGGCACCAGCCTGGTGGAGAGGCGTCTCTCTACTTGTGACATCCCCTGCTGGTCCCCTCATGTCTCATTCCTCTTTCAGCTAAATAATTCTGGTCCCAAAAGCCAGTGGTTAATCAAATAATTATGTGATTGGAATCACAAATGCAAACAATAATAATCAGAAGAGGCACATGCAAATGCAGGCCTCACTGAACAAAATGTCCTCTTTTTGTCCAGAATTTAGAGAGAATTTAAATGGTCTATAGAAAAGTACACACAGCCTCAGAACTCTTCTTTCAATTTCATTTGTCTTAACCTTTCCATGTAGGGCTGATGTTTTAACCTTTTAATCATCCTTGTGGTTTCCACCGAGTCTCTCCAAGCTCCCCACCCTTCTCTTTAGTGGATCCCAGAACTGAAATGGTTTTATGTTTATTTTGTTTTTTGCCAGAGACTGACCGATGCCGAGGACAACAGCCGAATTGTTCTCACTGACCACGCATCTGTTTATAAGGTGCCGTGATTTTTTTTTTAGCAAACAAAAACTTAAGACTGTGGTAAGCTCCTTTCCCATAGTCAACTCACAATCTGCGTAGCACTTAGGATTTTTAAGTGCTTGCTGTTATACTGTACTTGTCTAGCTCCTGTGTGTCTATTTGTATGTCTTTCCTAGTTAGGTGTACACTCGTGCTTTTTATTGGCTTTTAATCATATTCTTCTAATTTTTGATATTTATATTGTTTCCAGGGGACCTAAATTCTGATGCTGTTCTCTAAGCTTAGGTTTCTAATTATTCTGCGCAATTTCAGAGCACAATCTATTGACCCCTGACTCCAAAATATCAACAAGATTGAGAATGTCTATCATTGCTCAGAAGTAGATTTTCTCACCCTGCTTGAGTAGTAAGTGTGCCCCAGGAGGCACTGTGCTTTGCAAGTCTTCAACTAAGATGCTCCTTAGAACCCTTTAAACACTTGCCTAATATTCTCAGGGTATGGAATATTCATCATTGCAATTTTTTGGTGTTTTAGGGTTATAAGACTATACTCTTTCTCCCTCCCTTCCTGTCTTTGTTTCCTGGAAACACACAACAACAATAAAACAAATAGAGGAGATTTTATCCTATCTTCCAGCGAGAACTATGAGAAGTCATTTTGAGAAAGATTGACGTTGCAATTCTGTCCCAAACCAGCAATGATAAACTTATTGGAAGGATGTATCCCATCAATTCCTGGCTCTCCATCAACTGAACTGAAAAGAATTAATGGCTGCGTCTATCTGAACAGGATTTAATTTGAATGTGTAATTAGTCATAGATTGCAGCTTAAAAAAGTCTGTGCACATACAAGGAAAGCTTCTATTAATTTTTTTTTGAGTCTGGTGAACATTATGTGTGCTTTACAATATACACAATAACATCCATCTTTGTACATTAGAAATAAATTGTGAGAAATCAGATGCCTATTAAGACACAAGAATGGATGTAGCATTCTGATATTGGGTTATGGATAATAGGCCAGATGTTTCAGAAAGAATTAATGAGTTTTGAGATATTTCCAGATAACTCAAATTAGCCACTGTTCCCCCAGGTTGTTGGGGTCCAAGTATCCTCATTGTCATGGATAATATAGTTTATTCTTTAACAAAATACAGTCAGGTGGCCTGGTCTTACATAAGGATAAATTTCTGACCCAGAAATTTTTATGAAAATGTCACAGAGCAAGTTGCTTTATTTCTATTAATGATCACACATCTGAGCTTTTACTCCAAATCCTGATTGAAATGGATCTTCCTGTCTCTTTTTTTTATTTTATATATTTTTTATAAAATATATAAATATATAAGTATATTTTACATCATTTTTCATTTTTGCACAATGTATGCATTTTCATCTTGGTTATAGTCCCCATACCATTCCCACCCCCTTGTTTTGATTCCTGTCTCTTTTTGTAGACCTTGAAGGGCTTTAAACAGCTCCTGGTTTGAAAAGCAGGAAGTCCTATGAATTAGTTATTATGATATTTAGACAATCAGCTTTGAGAATTAAATTTAAAAAATGACAAATCACCATAGCACTTAATGGTCCAAAATGATGGTCTTAGCATCCTCCAGACCTCACCTGCGGCCAGTTAACTCACTTTATAATGGGTGCCTTTCTTTACCCAATATGAGCACTCAGCTTTAACTTTTAAACGTTCAATTAATACACAGCACGCAGCCATGCCCTCTTAATTCAGAGCCTCGCATTCATTTCTGTCTTGGCCTCTCCCCATACATTTACAGTTTAGCCTTGAATCTGAGTGTCTTCATCTCCATTCCTGAACTATTAAGTCATCCACATCAATCCTGGCCATTTTCTTTGTGTTCCCTGTGGTTCACCCTATTGCCCTACTTCTCTCTTGCTTCTCCCACCACTTCCACCTCCCTGCTCCCTGGCTCCCCCAGGAAAGTACCTCTGGAGAGATCCTGGTTCTCCACTCGGTAGCTGCGTTGGTAAGTTGGCACGTGGCAGGCATTACCTGGTGCAGGGCACTCTGGCTTACTCGATCTGTAGAGAATGCAGAACTCGGGAATGATGTACAGCAGCAGGAACACCCACGCATTGCTGACCAGGCCGATGCAGATGACAGGGTCATCCCACTGGGGCTGCCGCTGGAGCTGTGGGTTGCCTCTCATGAGCATGGAGATCCACACCACCCAGATAATGATGGACACCAGCATGGTGATGAAGATGAGTCTTCCGTGCTGCTTCCAGTTCTCACACGGGCCGCAGAAGGTGGCCTTGGAGACGAAGAACGTGAGGGCCATCAGGAAGAGGACATAAACCAGGAGGACCACAAAGTCCACGTTGAGCTGGTAGGGTGTCATGTGCACAAACATCATACAGTGGGTCATTATGAGCGTCACGTACTCAATGGCGATGATCGTCTGCAGCAGGCTGGCGCCAATAGCAATGCACAGAATGGTCGTCCAACAGAAGGAAACTCTACCCCGGACCAGCTTCACCAAGTTGGAGGCATGAGCGAGGAGGCACGAGAAACAGATAGCAAAGAGAACCCCAAAGAGAAAGTAGCGTACAGGGGCAGTCTGCTCATTGAACTGGATGATGAAGGCAAAAGCGAGGCTGAAAAGCCCCAGTACAGCCAGGAGGAAGAGGAACTGAGTAGGGAGGACATTCCACTGGCTGCAGTCTTGAACCCTTCGCATGAGAAAAAGACATGCCAAGAGCAGCAAGATGGTGACCACTATGCCGATGGCTGCCAGGGCTTCCATGACAATGCCCCAGGTCCCATCAGTGTCACAGAGGAGATAGTAGTCCCCAGTGGACTTGACACAGTCCTCCTCGTACATGGTGACTTGTAGATGTGCCTCCCAAGAATGGTCTTCTGTTCCCCTGTAGAAAGAAAGAGATAAAGTTAGGATTCTTCATCTACCTTCCAGAACACCTGTTAGGTAGATCTATGCAGAGCCCCGTACAGGCCCCTTCCCAAGTGAAGAACACTCTCTCAGCTCCTTTCTGCTGAGGAAAGCAGAACAGACTTCACTTGGGAGCTTGACACTCCATCCCTTTTAATGTCACAGTTTCCACCAAGCCTTTTTGAAACCAAAGACCAACTCTTTGTCATAAAATTGGGTGTATGACTACATTTGCCTGATTGATGGGGTTCCAGTTAGACTCAAGAACCAGACTTGTCAACATTAATAGATTGTTGGGCCACTCAAGACACTGATGCACTGTTAGGAGGAGACAGGCAGATGATTTTCCTCCGTAATTTTAACGACATTCCTTCTTTTCATTGAAGTCCAGTCAGTCCAATGCCATGTTATTATTTAAATACCTTACATAATTCAGTATTAAATATTTGTTCATCAAAGAAGCATACAAAATGGTTTCTGCCTTCAGATAACTTTCTGGACAGCTTAACACCAAAATCTTAATCTTTACTGAGGTTGCCTAGAAAAATCGCACATCATCATTTGGAAAAAATTACACATTTTTTGTGTACTTTAGCGTCTACAACAAAACACCTTAATTCTGTGCTCCTCCAGTTAGTCCCAAACCAGGTGGCCGGAGCGATCTATGTTGAAAGCTGAGCTATGGCCCTTCATTCCCCACTTACCCTCTCCGTGTCCACGCTGGAAGCTGAGGCTGCAGTGGCTGCGAGGCTGTTACTGTCAATGAGTAAGAAGGAGACAAACGCAGCTTCTTTAATCTCTCCCCAAATGGGCGGAAGGACTGGAGGCCCTCACTCAGGTTCCTGCAGCACCAATAAAAAAGAACCGGAAGGTCAGAAAGACACACCTATTCCAGTTTCACAGCAACTTTTCTATAGAGATTTCCTTGGTGAGAACAATTGTTTTTCATCCAACTGCTGACCAAAGGCACCTTGACCTTGAGGAGGTCCTGAGGGGATGTGACTTTAGGCACTGCATCCATCCACTCCATGGACCCTGGACCCCAGGGACCTGGGCGTCCTCAGCTAGCCTCACGTGAGGCTACATCATTCTTCCGATCTATACCCTAAAAAGTCATCTCCTTAATCTTCCCTTGTTTTGATTTTGGTTGTAAGATCCAAAAGAGCATCCATTCAGCCAAAGAGTAAGAGTTTCATTGGGCCATAAAGAAGAGTTAAGTGCATTTAAAGGGCCAGTGGTGGGCAAATTTGTGAATTAGGGAGAAGGTGTCTTCTCTATGCAGCTACTCCCTACTTCTCTCTTTGGAAATCAGTCCTAGGTCTTAGTTGTCCATCAGGTGTGGGCTCCTACCTGGACTAGTTCTGCTTGGATTTGCCCAAGGCCTTGGTGTGACTTCCCCCTCTCCTCCCACTCCATAGACCCTTCAGAATATACATGTTCTAGGTCATTCCATCAGACATTCCTAAAACTCAGGAGAACGAACCATTGGAGGTTACCAGGTGATATTGGTAAATATATTCCTCTCTCATCAGTGGTGATAACAGAGCACCTAGTAGAATGTCCAATCTTCAGGGACAGCAGCACCAGCCCTCCCCACCCACCTTTACCCCTTAGTTCTTTGCCTGGATATTTCATTTTGGGAGAGGACTTCTGAAGACCCCAGAGTGGGGCCTGGTTTCAAGTACCCTGATGGAACCCTGCCTTGTAAGCCCACTGTCTTTCCTTCATACCTCCTGTTCCTGAGATTGAGCCAGCTTGGTTTTGCCATGCCCTCACGAAGAAACCAGCTCCCATCTGCTCCCCTTCTTTAAGACATTGTTCCCGTTCTGAGTTGCCTTTTGCTTTATTCCTGATCACTCTGTTTCCTACCCAAACACTTTCCCTTCCTCTAAGAGCTGGTTTCTCTCCTCTATGGGCTTTCTTGCCTTCCCTGATGCTCTGTGCCCTGGGAATGAACCCCATATGAGCCCCAGAGGGTGAACCCCACCACACAGAGGGGCTGTGCTGTTCTAAAGTATGGAAACCGTGCTTTCTATTTTATCTGTATCAATTTATTAATAAATGTAATAATTAATTAATTAAAAATAACAGGTAAACTAATCACTTTTATCTGTATTAGTCTCAACCCTCTGATTTGGTTGATAGCTACCTGGGGTCAGTTTCCAATTTTAAGCTCCCATAGCTCCTGCCTCGGAAGAGACATCTCTGAGGGGATGCTGGATTGATAATTAAATAATTCTGGTGATAAAATTCCAGGCCTTGTGAAGCTACCTCTTAGCTGTGTGGATTTCCAGTAGATGCTTTTTATTTTTTACTCATTTATTTTTTCCAGCAGATGCTTTTTAATGGAAACCACCTGTTAATAAGTCAGGTCCTTCACAAAGCCTAGACAGGTTGATTCTAAGGAGGTGCTTTAGCTACAGAGATGCCCTACCTTTGAAAAGCCATTCTTTTCCCTTTGAGAGGAGAATGTTCTCTCCTTTATTATTTGCTTGGGGCATAATTGTGGTCTGTCTGAAGCTGTAAAGACTAGTCTGAAGTCTACGTGAAGGGAAAAGAGACTTCCAGGTGGCGAAGTGTGCCATCCATGAGAATCCATGCGAGGACCCTGGTGGAGGTAAAATTGCTGTCAGCCCAACAGGAGGCTCCTAGGTAATTCTTCCATGAGAGATATTCCGTGACCCTTACCCCCTCCCACCCGCTTCCAGCTAGTTAGTCACGTTCATTCCTCACTGTCATGGGGCATGCTTGTCTTCTGAGGAGATTGCTCCTGACCAGAGGAGTGGAATTATTGGGTTAATGACCACAAAGCCCTTTGAGCACCTCAGATAAAAGCTTTTGTTTCAAGTATTAATTATTGTTGTTTTAAAATCTGGGCTTAAAGAATCAACCCATCTGCTGCTAGGCCTTTAGGAAATGAGGGCCCTCTTTTACCAAATTACTCACATCTTGTTTCTTTGGGCTTTAATGTGGCAACATCACACCCAGCGGCTCAGATATGGCTTTGATGAATCAAAGTATATTGATTACAACAAGTTCATTAAATATGGAGATAAAACAGTCAAGAGGCCAAACGCCTTTTGCTAAACACCTAGTTGGATTGTTTCCTTCTGGGGAAACAGAGCTGGAGGGAATGTTGGAGGTCACCTAGCCTACCCTTTCATTAATTGTGAACAGTATGGAAGCCAACATTGCAACATACAGCATTTAATAAGGAAACCAGGGCCCTGAGAGATGAAGGGAGGTATTGAGGGGTGACATATTAGGGTGATATCCAAGGTTGCCTGCTTGTGGTCTCATTCATGCTGCCACCAGGCTGCCTGTCCTGACACCCTTTCCTCCTAAGGACAGCCCTGGAGAGTGACAGGCCCTTCCACATGGCCTATGGGCCATTTTGGTCGATTATGAGGGTGCATGTTCTTTATCCTGCTACAAATCCCGCGGCTCTCCTGCCTGGCTGCATGAAATGGGGTGCATTGGCTTGGAATGGATCATTTGTTCTTTTTGCTTGCTAGCATCTGCAGGTCTGGCTTCATGGGGGTGCAACCGGTGTGGCTGTATAGGATCCACCACTCAGAAGAGTCCTGTGCTGGGGTTCAATGCTCTGTGGTCGCCGCCTTGAAATTCTTAACATTCTCTTTGAATTTGTGTTTTGTAAGTCAAGTCAGATGGGACAGTAGTGCACTGGGGACTTGCTGCCCTGGCTGACATGCCTCTCTGCCTCCCTGAGATGCATTCTCAGTCACCAATCCCTTGGTGCCCTGCTCACCTGGCTTCTCTGTTTCAGCCACTGTCCTGTGACAGCAAGCATGCTCTGCCTTGGGCTGGGGCCCTTGGAAAGTAGTGATGGATTTACCCAGGTCTAGACAGGATGCTACATTTTTATTTTGCACTGGACTGCCTCAAGCCTCTCATTTGATTTTCTGGTATATGATTTTTAATTTGATCAATTTCCTATCAGCTTTATTTTAATATAATTTGTAGTTGTTGGAAGTACCACTGTGTTTTGTCTGGGTCAGAAAAAGTCTCTCCATTGGGATTCACAGGTGAAGGTATGAAGGTATTTTTGTAGCCTGGGTTATTTGGCACTTTTTGTGACTATTATAAAATTAGGAACAGTATATGCATTGCTCTTATACTGCATTGTTTTATCATTATAAAAAGAAAGCAGATAGTGTAGAAGATACAGTTTTGTTCAAGTTCAGCTGCTGAATCTGGATGTGTAAATCTGATAATATTGAGACTAATATTGATGCTAAATAAAATTTGATTTTATTTGATCTGCATTCTTAAAAGTAGCTGTAGGACTTTAAAGATCATTTAAATATGATTTAATAAAATATACAAAGCTTAGTGGACATGATAGACTTGACAGATGATTTGTAATGAAGTTCTTACTAATGAAAACTTAAAACCTTCCAAATTAAAGACATACCAGGGAAAATAACACGATTTCCTGTCAATAAGCCCCTCATGTATTTCTAAAGGAAAAATACAAAAGTTAATCAGTCCCTTCTAAGCTGTCGACAATGAGTGATAGAGCCTTATAATAATCTGTTGAGTAGTATATTAGGGTCCAACAAAGAAGATGAATCACAAAGCTCCTAAAAATGGTTCTTCCAGGATGCATGGATTAGATTTTTGGTAATAACAAGGTAAATCAGTTGACAGATAAACATTATGCCTCTTAGAATTCCATTATGTCTCATCAAATCTGTACAATAGAATGCAGAGAAGCAATGTTTTAATGCAATTTAAGTCTTATATAGATTTTTGTTTCCATTTGATAAAAGCACTGATTGGTATTCTAAGTTGCTAACACTTTTAGATAGATATGAGGGTTAGAATGGTATACTACTTTTTTTTTTCAGTTTGTAAAATCAAAACTGTTTATTACTCTAATAATAATACAAAGAACGTTTGTATGATTTTAA